CTTATCAAAAGCATGCCGGTGGATTTTATATATGGCTTTTATTGCTTTTTTTCTTCGTGGGATTAGGCTATATGTTGATTTTTTTCTTCGAGGATGAAAATTTTCACTAATCTATTTTTTGTGAAATTTTGGTATTATATGTGACCATCAAAGGGGATGCAAGGATTATCAAACAAAATGGTAATATTTCAATCTGAAATCCCATGGCGGAAGTAGGATTAATAGGAAATAGAGAAGATAATGCTAAACTTATCTTAAATCCAATTTTGTTACGATATATTCCCTCGAAAATTAAGTCGATCTCATTTTTGAAGGCAAATCATTCGTGTTGTGCATAAAAGATTGTCAACAATGCAGGCGTCAGACAAAATTAATCATGTTCACGTCTTCAGATGAGCACAAACTTGTAACCTGCAAGATGAATAATATACAAACACTAGTCCTCTATGTACTTTTGCAGTATCTGCAATAACATTTCATGCAAAACTTTGGCCTTTTGTCCAATTAATAGAAAGAGGCATATCACGCTGCGTTTGGTCTGTTTCAGGTGACATAAATGTTAACCTACAAAAGACAAAATTCATAGAGACTACTAATTATGTGAATTCCTGTTTACAAACACTATAGATTTTACTACAGACTAGTTTTCCTGATGATGAATGGCATCAGAGTTTGCTGCATTAACCTTTTGGCAAATAATTATCTATATCAATTGTGAAAACAATCAATTATTGACAAAAACAACATGAACTAAATTGTTGTGCCTTATTTAATTATGTTTTTTTGTGATCATTACAATTTCTTACATTTAAGATTGTAGACATTATTAGTGCTGACAATAGAGGCTTAGTTGAGGAATTTTGATATGTTTTTAAGAAAAAGGTTAAAATTGTAGTCTGCCTCCCTTTAGTTTGTGTAGTCTTTGAGTCTTTTTGGCCTTGAGAATCTGACTCCATCAACGTAGCTTGTGGATCCTAGACCGAATCCATAGTAGGTTTTGTTTTGCCAGTATGCGAGGTTGTGGCTGCACTCGTTGCCGCCCTTGCAGTAGCTGCTGATCTCGTAGTGGTCGTATCCCGCGTTGGTGAGGGTTTCTGATGCTATTATGTAGAAGTTTGCAGATTGGGTTTCTATTGGTAGAGGAAATTCTCCCGGAGTGTACCTGAATATGTATAATTTGATATTATCAGCAAAAAGTTTAACACTCTATCTCCTCAGGTGTGTTGCAACTGCATTTAAATCTCAATGTACGCATGTTTAGATGATGTTATTGCAACTTCAAGTTACAATAAAAGAAAATTGACTGAAAAATACAGGATTTGCAATTATGCTTGAACTGGAGTGTTCGAACAATAGGAGTTAGAACTGCATTATGTTGTAATTGCAATTGTCATTCAAACAAGCCATGCATTGAGGTTATGTTTTGTTAGACCATATATACTTACAAGTGTATGTGCATTGCGGCATTGTGCAATATCATTTAGTTCAAATTCATGTTGTTTAAACATCCATCAATCTGAATATAGCAACGACTCCTCTATTTGTAAGTCAACTTTGTTTTTGCAACAAATCTTCCTATGAAAAAACAATCAACAAAACAGACGTTATGGAGTTTGAATGTAGCTAGTTATGCTACATAAGACTCCAACTACCCTTACCCAAACATAACTTCAACCAAACATAACTTCAACCAAACATTACAGATTTTACTACATGCTATTTTTCCTGATGATGAATGGCATCAGAGTTTGCTGCATTAACCTTTTGGCAAATAATTATCTTTTTTTTTGTGATCGTTACAATTTCTTACATTTAATATTCTAGACATTATTAGTGCTGACAATAGAGGCTTAGTTGAGGGAACTTGGATATGTTTTTAAGAAAAATGTTAAAATTGTCTGGTGCATTACAATTTTCACAAAATATCGTGGATCACGCTATCATCTTGGAGATTTTGCAAACAGGACCACCAGAGCCTATCGAGATACTAAAGACAAATATAATCATAGACATGCACAACTACGTAATGCAGTGGAAAAAGCATGGGGAATTTTAAAGCAAAGATTCAAAATTTTAAAAGTTGCTGCTCCATTTCCTTATAAAACTCAAGTCAAAATTGTTGTAGCTTGTTGTGTTCTTCATAATTTTATTGCAAGGCATCAGGGAAATGATAAATACTTTAATATGCTCAATGGATTAGAGATGAATGAGGATGAAGATGAGGTGGAGGAGGAAGAAGACCCCCAATACATGGTTGGTGCAGATGAAAGTTTAAGGGGTGAGCAGCTTCGCAACAGGATTGCTTTACAGCTTTGGAATAATTGAAATATGTAGTTGTCGAATATTGAAGTATAAGGAGGTTGAATTATGTCTTTTACTATCTTTATATGAGGAAAACTTATAATTTTATACAGATCTATTGAGTGGATTGTTTTTTCCTTGAATAATCAAATCTATTTTTTATTGAATAATCATTTTATTTGCCAGGTTTATTGATAGAGAAGAAGCCATATAATATTTTGTTAGCTCATTATCTCTCTTTAGTAGCTGAAATAATGTGAAATAATAATTTATTTTAATTTACCTTCTGAACAATCATTTATTTAATAATACCAAATTGTCATTTTAGCGCTATTTCAAAAAAAAAAATTATCCCACGTGTCTCAACTGAATTACATATTATTGATCAAAAGATAAACAACGCGAAAAAGATATTAATGAGACAATTAGTTATAAATTTTCAGTAAGGGCGAAAGTGGTATTTTTAAAAAAATTAATGAGATTAATCTCCTTATCCCTTCTTTATTTGCCAAACACAAAAGTCTTAACCCCTTGTCTTAACTAGCGAATCCAAACTGAATTAGAATATTTTTAACCCTTCTAAATGGATTAACTAAGTTAACCCTTCTCCTTAATCCCTCTTCCTTAACCCTTTGCCAAACGGTACCTTAAGGATTAAGGATATACACCTCTGCCACTCAGAAGAAAAAAGTCTTTTTCAATTAGATCAAGGGTAATAGTTAATTTATTGTATATATATAGTTCTCACTTCACATCTCAAGCAATCTTCTAATTGAAGGAATGATGAGAGAGTGCAGGAAAACAACAGAAGAATCAGGCAGACAGACTGGCAGTCGACCGTCGTGGTCGACCGTGAACGTGCACGAAGGCCAGTGAGATTCGGAGTTGAAGGCGGTCGACTGTGACGGTCGACTGCGGGGACCCTCTAGGCGATTATCTCTCGGGAAATCAGTTCGGTCGACCGCCGCGGTCGACCGCGAGTTTGACTGTAGGATTTGTTTCTCTATCGGGGGTGTTCAGTCGACCGCGAGCTTCGTGCGGTCGACCGCGAGACCTGCGCGGTCGACCGTCGCGGTCGACCGTAGATGGATTTTGGGCTGGGCTTTGGATTTTGACCCAGTTCGTTTCTGAGTTGATATATAACCCTAAACCTGATTAATTAGGATTAAGCAAAGACGATTTTGAGCAGTCTTTTGGAGAGGATTGCTACATCCAATTGTGGGAGATTTGTGAGAGATCTAGAGCTTTGTTTTAGGGTTTGATCGGTGAGAATTGTAACTCTATTTGTATTCTCTTGATTTCTAATAATAAGAACTCCCCCCTCCTTGCCCCGTGGACGTAGGTAACTTGCCGAACCACGTAAATCGTTTGTTCTTACTATGGTTGTGATTTGCTTATTGGTTGTGGTTTATCTCTTGGATTGTTCGTGTCGTTCCTCGAAGCTTCCGCCGCGCACAACACTAAGAACATATATTGCAAAAGCAGAAGTTGTGAGCTTTCCTAGTACCTGAGAAAAACATATTTTTTAAAAAAAGGAACCACGAGTACCTATCACAAGAAGATTAAGAAAGGGAAACTTTTTTACAAAGACCGTTTTTGAAACTTTATCAGATAAATCGATTTTTTGTGGATTTAATTAGCAAAATTGACATCTTTTGTCGATTTTATAAAATATAGTTTTTAAAATACATGAGACTAGTGGTGCCGTGTAATTAGTGTTGGCTAATTACTTGCTAATTAAATTTTAAAAAATACACGAGACTAATTAACCTTTATTAGGGAGTAATTAGGCACCACTAAATGCACAAGACTAGTAGTCCCCCGTATTTAAAAGTTTTATTTTTGCAAAATCGTCCTTTTTTTTTTGCCAAAAAGCGGTCGATTTTGCAACTTGTTTAAATAATAGGTAGATTTTGCTTTTCAAAAATGGTCTTTTAAAAAAGAAAATCTTCTTTAAGACATATATACTACAAAAAAGAAAAAGGAAAAAACCACTAGTAACTCTTTCAACAAAAGGATAGATGTGTAATGAGCAAGGGGATTAATAAAGAAAATTATTATTGTTAAGAATTCTGAAGAAAAATATTAATCTAGCTATACTTTTGTAATAAATACCCCAATGTGGGAAGCTCAAACATTTATTTTCCTAGGCAGAGGTCATACGGCGAAATGATGTTGCTAGTACCATTATTTATACGCAAATCATTTTCGTTATGTAATAAAAAAATATCCAACCATCTCCTACTATTTAGCTATAGGGTCCAAATCATTTAGAATCTGTGTCAAATCAAAAACAAAATTTTTTTTTTTTATAGATTGATTAAAGACGAAGGAAGGGAGGGAGGAGGGAAGGTGGAGAAAAAAAAAAATAAAAACTGGGAAAATAACTCGGCCGTATTTAGCTATAGCTCCCTACTGAATCCTGCAACCGAACGCAGGGTACACTGACGGCACGTGCCTTCCTCAGGATTCAGAAGCGGGTAACTCGACCTCAAACGAAGGGTGAAGCTCGCACAGAGGACGAAGATATTTTCGCTCGTGGCCCCTACACCACGCCTCCTCCTCTCTGGCGAGTAAAGCGCCTAAAAGCGCAGCCGACAAGATATTTTCCATCCACGTGGATTATGTTGTCTCAGTCCTCCACTGCTAGTCTTCCCGAAATAGAAATTTATAAATAAATAAAAAAAACCTTAGAAAAAGTTCTATGGCCTAAGAATGGCCTCGTACTCGCAGCGTCATCGATCACTTCACGTATTCATAAATAATCAATAAATATATAAGTGTTTCCAAATACGAGGTGGGCAAGTCCCCTCTTCTCTAGTTCACTCGTTTCACTTATTTGCAGTACAGAGCTTTGGATATTGCCTCTCTTTTCTTCTTCTTCAAGCTTGGAATTTCTGAGGGATCGGGTAAATCTCAATTCTCTTAGCTCTTTTTTTTAATTGCTTTGTATTCGTTGGGTTTAGAGACAATTAAGATTTTTATTCTTCTGAGCGGTTTGTGATGTTGGTGGTTGGAGAAAATTCGTTGTTTTTGTTTTTTTTTGTTAAGCTGGAATCTTCATCAGGAGGATGGATTAGTGATCTGGGTGCTGAGATCTAATATGGGTTTTTTTTTAAAAAAAACTTGAAGGGAGTTGGTTTTTTGGGTGATGTAAAATTAAAGATTTAGAATATGTAAAATAACCATCAGGTATTAGGGCATAGGAAATCATCCATGTCAAGGATAGAAATATAAAATTAAGAGCCTCAAGTAATGTCTTGTGGAGTTCAAATTTGATTTACATTTGCTCTTAGGATGGCATGTATGTGAAAGGTTTACATAAAAAAGGGGAAAAAAATTAATCTGCCTCAAGCAATGTTTTGTGGAGTTCAAAGTGCCTTCCACTACACCAAGACTCAAAAACTCGGAAGTTGCGCTGGTGAGTATTGGGGCTATACTTTTATATTCTACCATGCGCTCGCATGTTAAGCGCCCTTTTCATGGGCCAAAACCTAGACTTGCATAGGAGTATTTTTTTTATTTTAAAATTTAGATTAAATTCATGGATAGTGGGATTTGAACCTGAACTGCCCTCATATTTATGTCAAAGTCTCTTGCACGACATCAAAACTCGAAAGCTGTGATGAGGATTGATTGCTATAATTTAGTTATATTAGAGTTTTTTGTAAAAGTTTTCCAAAAGACCCGGACTAAGTTTAAAACTACATATATATTATAGTATGTAGTTTAATAACAAACTACACTGTAGCCCAGTGGTAAAAATCTTTTTTGAACAAATCAAAGGTTATGGTTCGGCAAGCGTCAACTCATTCCCGGACTCAAACTCAAGACTCTGAATTGGTTGAGTCCGACCTAAAGCCACCTTTCGACTTTGAATTGGTTGAGTCCGATCTAAAGCCACCTTTCGACTCTGAATTGGACCTTTTCTGATGGAGTCGGACTTAAAGACGCCTTTCGACTTGGACTTGGACTTATTGGAGAAATCGGCTTAGAAAATGGCAAGAGGGTGACTGATGGGCTTTTGAACTGATCTATTTAATGGGTCCATTTAATTAGCTCATTAAATAGACCAATTAATATAGTTAGTGGGCTGAGTGGGTGTAATTGATATGACATTTGAGTTGCTCTCATTAATGAGCTAGCAACTCTTGGGTTGGATCAGAGAAAGCATTCTGAACAGCAACATAGATTCTTTTTTGAACGTATCCTCTAAAATACTATAGTGCCTGTTTGAGTCCAACTCTGTACCAGACCGAGGAGGTTATAGTCCGAAGTCAGACCAAAGACGTCGTCTAGTGTCTTAACTTGATCAAGGTGATCATGGAGGGTCTGGTTGGTGCACACCAGTATACTCAACTTGCTATTCCTAAAAGCAATTCGGTGTTGGGATCATTGTATCGGACTAGGCTGAATATTGCTTTTAAGTTCAGAATTTTAGGAAGCATGAATACTTAAACAAATTTTTTACAACAAGCATTTCAAGAAAGTTCATATTTCTTGTCTTGATTTTTCCCTTTTGTTCTGACATTCTTAACACAAGATTTTTTAGTCATAATGGATTATAGAGAAACTATAAGAATTGATAGCCTGAAACTCGAGAGCTGCAACTGATTTAATGCATAGCGACGCAAGGTGATCCTTGGGATGCAACTTCTAAAGATTTATTATGTTGTATCAGAAGAGAAGCCAACATTCAAGGAGGACTATACAACCGGCAAAGCAAAGTGGGACCACGATGACACCTTTTGTAGTTATCTCCTCAATTATCTTGCTAACCACCTTGCAAATATTTACACCCACCAAGCCTCTGTGAAGGAAATCTGGAGTGTACTGGAGCAGCAGTACAAAGATGAGGAGAAGCTTTTCAAAACACACCTCATTGACAAGTTCCTCAACCTCAAGTTTGAAGATGATAAAGAGGTTTTAGCTCAAGTCAAGGAGCTGGAAAAACTTATCATGAAGTTAAAAGATGAAAAGATCAAGCTCTACGACACCTTCATCGCCAACGTCGTCATCAACAAACTCCCTCCTTCATGGATGTCTTTCTTAATTCATAAGAAGAAGACACAAGTTTTATTACCAGACTTGAACAGGTTCATCTAGATTGAGGATGAAATTAGGACTTACACTAAAAATGAGTTGCTCGCTAAGCAAAAGGTGTCAACTAACATGGTGTCCACCAAACCTATTCACAGCTTCATCAATAACAAAAAGAATAATTTTAAGAAGTTCACTGCTCCAAAGAATCTCAATGTGCAAAAGGAGTTCAAGAAGAACAGTTAAGCCTTCAATTGCATGAAGAAGGGCCACTTCATAAAAGCATGTATAGCACCAAAGAATGCAAATAACGTCAACTATGTTGGTGAAGTCAGCCATATTGAAAAAGGACAGAACTTTATGGCAATGCTTTTTCAAATGATAAATTCTCCTAACACTTATGAATGGTGCTTAGATAGCGGCGCTACATGTCATGTTTGCATCCATAGAAGACTTGCTTCTAGTGAGAATGTATCAATGACTAACCGCTCTATCGTTATTGTCCATGAAATTGGGACAGAGGTGATAACACTTACTTCTAGAAAGACTCTTACTCTCAATAATATGAAGCATTTCTATCAATTGCAAAGAACCTGATATCTGGAAGTCTTCTTTGGAATGCGGTTGTATCTCCAAGGCGGAAAAATTGTCTTATCCTATCAGAAAGTTTATTTTGGTAATGTGTATCGTATGGATGTAATGTATAAAATGAGTATCATAAACTCTGCCTCAACTATCATTAAATTTTCTATTTTTGTGTATTTCTCTTCTCTTTGGTATCATAGACATGGTCATGTTAATTATAGAAAAATATTTAACATGAATAAACTAGGACTTATGTCTAATTGTAGGGGTGATAAACCAAGTCAATATAAAGTTTGTATGCAAGCCAAGATCACAAGAAAATATTTTCATAGTATCACAAGGAGTACATAGTTACTAGAGCTATTCATTCCGACAATTGTGACTTCAAAAGTTTTACTACTAGAGGAGGCATAAAATATTTTATTACTTTTATTGATAACCACTCTTGATATTGTCATGATTACTTACTAAAATCAAAAGATAAAGCCTTTAGTAAGTTTATTGAGTTCAAGACTCGAGTAGAAAAACAACTTGTTCACCTAGTAAAAAAGCTTAAAAGTGATAGAGAAGGAGAATATTGATCCAAGGAAGCATAAGCTTATTTCAGAGAACATGAGATAGTTGCCGAGACAACTGCTCCCTATTCACCACAATCTAATAGAATTGCAGAGAGGAAAAATTGAAATCTAACAGAGATAATAAACTCAATGCTTATCACCTCTGGTCTTCTAAATTGCCACTGGGTGTGATGTTATTAATAGGAAATTGGATCTTAAATAGGGTACCATATTCTAAATCCCATATAACACCAAATCAACTTTGATCCTGCTTCTTTAGATAATCTTAAAGTTTGGGGAGTCTTTGCCTATATTAGAATACCTAGTATCAGAAGGTTAAAGTTGGGACTAAAGGCAAATAAATGCATCTTTCTGGGGTTTGCTAAAGACAGTGATGCAAGTAAGTTCTTAGATCTCAACACCAACTCAATTATTGAAGCTTGAGATGCAAACTTTTTTGAGGATAAGTTTATCAAAGATAAAAACTTGTCACTCAAAGATATACCAGATAACACTGAATTAACTCCGGCTACACTAAAGAACCTACTACTTTGGAGAACTCTACTCAAGAAGAAGAAGCTGCTATACCAGAGTAAGGTCCAGAGCCTCCTGTCAAGCGGGTAAGGAAAATAAAGGATTTTGGTGATGACTTCTTTATGCATTATTATGGAAGGAAGCTGCAAAAAATGAGATGAATTCTCTTCTTTAAAATCACACTTGGGAGTTAGTTGATTTTCCAGAAGGAGCAAGGCCGATCAATAGCAAATGTATCTTAAAACAAAATACTAATAGTACTATTGAGAGGTACAATGCAAGATTAGTCGCTAAAGGTTTCTCTCAGAAGGAAGGCATTGACTTCTTTGACATATTTGCACCAGTTTGTCGCATCACGACCATTAGAGTGCTTATCTCTTGGGTTGCCATTTAGAAGCTTATTGTGCACCAAATGGACATGAAGATGACATTATTAAATGAAGATCTGACTAAAGAAATCTATAGAGAACAATTAGAATGCTATATTGTTGATGGCATGAACACAAAAGTATGCAAATTGATTAAGTCTCTTTATGGACTGAAGTAAGCTCCTAAACTCTACAACAAGAAGTTTCTATCAACTCAATTCTGTATGAAGTATCATGGAGATGCTGATGTAATTCTTGGGATCAAGATCAATCGGTCAAAGAATGGGATTGGCCTAACTCAGTTTTATTACATTGAGAATATGTTGAAGAAATATGGGTATTCTGATTTTCTAGAGATATCGATACTATATGACTACAACAAAAAGATTCGAGCCAACTCAGGAAGACCAGTGAAATAGCTGGAGCACTCAAGGATCATCAGGAGTTTTATGCACACTATGAGTTGCACAAGACCAGATATAGCTTACACACTTGGGATGCTAAGTAGATCTATAAGCAATCCTGGAAAGTCTCATTGGGATGCTATTGAAAGGAATAATGAGGTACTTTAAAGGAACTATAAAAAGTCCTAGAGGATGTTTTAAGTTGTGAATTGCTTATGGTTTTAGTAGAGAACCGCTTTTAAAATACTATGTCTGAATATGTTGTCAGTAAGATTTGAAACCAGGACATCCTGAAACATTGTGTTTCGGTATCAGTTTACCAAGCTCATGCTCACAGATACAGATAGAGGATGTATTTTTATTCTTGTAGCAGATTCTTTTAATTACAATTGATACTGTATTTTATACTCTCTTTAGTAATCTAGAAGGGAGTATCACTACATTATTCTGATCTTTTTTGTTACCTTCTTTTTACTAATTTCTCTTGAATGTAACTTGGTCTCTCGATTTGATTTCGGACCAGTCCATCTCTATTTACTTGCATTTCATGGTATTTCATGCTTTTGTAAATTTTTTGAATTCTTTTAGAAGTGTCCTATAATTACTTATCTTTGCAGAATTATATCATATTTTATGCATGAGTATTTGCAAATAGCCAGAATCATTTCCTAGAGGTTTCCAGTTGTAACTAAATATCTTTATAGAACATTTCTGGTTCCATCTTTCTTTCATTAGTTAACCCACCCTTTTCTAAGAAGGATTTGAGTCATATGGCATCTATACTACTTGGAATGGCTCTCTCATATTGAGAAATTTTGTCTAGTGGTATTCGATCACAGAAGCCCTTGACAGCCCTTAGTGCCCCCTTGGGATTTGCAGGCTGCTTCTTCACAACGTTTAGCAGCCTAACCGCACCCTTGTAGCTTTATGTTTTGCAGATAACTTTATTTTGCAGTTGGATGTAACAATTAATTTTTATACTTGATTAGTTTTACCTCTTTTTTTAAAACTTTTCTCATACACAAAGGGAAGTCCTTTTTTGTTTCTGAAATAGTTCAATGCTCATTGACTAGGTTACATGGCATGGGTACAATACTGGTGTGGGTACGGGACACGGCTATATATATCATGTTATGTAAATTATATGTATTAAAATTAATAATTTACTTAAGATTAATATTATTTTTTTCATTTACATAAGATCAATATATAAGAAATAGATGTGAAGTGTAGAATATACATCCAAGAAGTGTATGAGGAGTGTTTTAAATTAAAAAATGTATTATAAATTGAGTATACAACCAAATAAATATATGCATAAATTCAAGAAGTGTCCAAGAGGTTTGGGTATGGGTACGAGTACGGGTATAGGTACGTGTTGGGTACAGGTACGGGTGCCTAATAGAAGTACCCAGGTAACATAACTCATTGAAGATAATTACCATCATACATTTCATCCATGTACCATGTATATTTCTTAAATAATTATGTAGTTTAGAAATTGTACTTCATGTCCAAGTATTAAATAACAACCTATCTTATGCATTTTTCATGTAGAATTTCAACTTATGGGCTTGGTGTGATAGAGAATTGACTAAAATGGTTTGGTCGTGTACAATGAAGGCCACTAAATGCACCAATTAGAAGGAATGATAAGATTATAGTTAAAGGGGTATAAAGGACTAGAGGTAGCCTAACAAACTTAGTTAAAAACAATCAAGAAAGGTATGATGATATAACTTAGCGATTAGATGAACATAATGAAAACTAAATGGAAGAATATCACCCAACCCTAAAAATTTAGGGTAAAGGCTTCACATTGTTGTTGATGTTGTTTATGCTTATCTGTCTAAACTAAATTTCTATTATCCTAAATTATTGCTTGATGTAACTTCCCTTTAGAATTCTTGTCACAAAAAGTGAAATTTGCCTTTTATTTCAGGATCTTATCTAATACTTCCAGAAGTTTGAAACTGGTAAATTTTATGCCCAACAGCGAACGGTCACTCAAAGAATATCATGTCAGATGATGTCTCTGTAAGATACAGAAACAGGGAAGTTTTTGAGTTCGTAATGGACGATACAGATACTTTAGAATCCGTGCATCCTTATCAATTGCAATGGATGGCTCACTGGACTCAAGCTAGCAGCAGTTCATCTAAAGATCGAACACCACACTGTCGCTCTCCGGCTGAAACTATGAATAGTTGGAGACAAGACTTCGGCAAACAAAATCGAACATCTTATATGCTTCAGTCAATAGAAGCTGGAGGAGGTGATCATGGGAGATTTAGGATCATTAAGAATGCTGTACTGCAGAATAATCATGGAAGCTCATATCATTTTCAAAGTTTATATAGTCCAACTTCGGAGGGGACAAATTTTCCAATGCTTGATATTAACAGGAAGATAGAGACTATCATGGCTCCAAAGAAAACGACTAGCTCTACTACTATAGCAGATAGAATGACGGGACAACTGTTACCCATGAGTCGATCTCTATTAGATCTAAATTCGATCAAATTTGCATCTGAAGGGCATCAGCATCTAAAAAAGAATATCACACAAGTTGATAAAAAGACGAGGTCATATGAGTCTGTACAAGGATTACAACATTATATGTGCCGTAGTCCAACTATGAACGATGAGGAAAATGACCCTTTTTGCTCCGGCCTAGCATTCAAAGAGCACTTTGCAAATGCAAACCTCACTTACTTAAAACATGAGCTGTGCAATGGTTCCAAAAATGGATCAAGTCCTTGTCCTGGTGATGTTCCTCATTTATGTCTACCTCAAGAATGCAACGAAGAAAGAGAAAGTCTTTGCGGCAAGAAAAAAAACAATCTTGGCTTGAGCAAACATAAAATGTCAAGTTCCTCAACTATTGATAGTAGGAAAGGAAAACCTGATAAGTTCTCAAATGTCGCTCAATACCTGAGTGTGGATTTGCACAATAAAGAACAAACTGCTGGAGGTTCAACAGTTTCTGCTAATGTCGAAGGGACTGCTTTCTTTGAAAAGTTTACTTTACCTGCAATATCACACTATCATGGCCAGAGAGAACATAGTTTTCGAAATCTTAGCTCAACCAACAGTATGGAAGGTGCTGATGGAATTAGTTCCCAATCTATGAACAAAGGAATTGACTGCACTCTTGAAACTGATACTGTGCAAATGTATGTTCAAGGGAAACCAAGATCTCCTGAAGGTACATCTTCCATATTGTTTTAGGTATTATAAGTATCTTAACTAACCTATTCTTTTTTACCATTTGTTTTCAGTTGGAAGTTCTTTCGAATCACATAAGGTACAAATTTTACTGTTGATGGCACTTTACCTTATATTGTCTTTCAGCATCCTCCATTAGCAAGTCTGTCCATAGTGAAATTTTTCTTAAATCTGCTATGCTTTGTTCTGTCACTCAGCATGGTCCCGAGGCAGAGGGACTAGACACACATGCACGAACACACTAAAACACGTACACACACAGACACACACATGCTCACACACTCACGCACACACACATGCACATGCCCCCACATGCACACACACGAACATGCACACATGCAAGCGCACATGCCATGCCCCCACGGACGCACGACAGTCCTCCAGTCCACCAGTCTGTCGTGTGATACCACCATTTTTTGCTACTCATCAGAAATTTAAGAAAGTGTGGATAGGTTTACAATTTAGATAATGAGAGTAAAGTGTAACAATGACTAGTCATTTTCAGTAGTAGTTTGAGCCAAACCACATGTACACTTCCAATTGACAACCTGGCTCTGATACCGTTTGTCACCCTAAGCCCACGACCCATTGGAGCACTATAATCATGGGACTAAATGCTACATCACCTTGAGGTGGGATGGCTGTGATAACTACATTAAATTGTATCATATTTGGAAATAAAGAAAGCGTCAATGGGTTTATAACATAGTTATACAGTACACGGTATGCAACGGGTCGTGATAGAAATTCCAGTATGTAATTCACCATCTAGAAAATTTGGATACGATGGGGAGTACCTCGCTTTAGTATGCAAGTTTGTTATGTTGTACGTTATAAAGTTTTATTAACCTAGGTTTATAACATAGTTATACCGTACACGGTATGCAACGGGTCGTGGTAGAAATTCCAGTATGTAATTCACCACCTAGAAAATTTGGATACGATGGGGAGTAGCTCGCTTTAGTATGCAAGTTTGTTATGTAGTACGTTATAAAGTTTTATTAACCTAGGTATTTAGTTACAGTAAAGTCATTGACTTATGTATTTTATTGTGCATCTCTCTTCACTCGATTGCTCACCTCACACTGCATTTTACACATGCACTTGCGCCACTTGTAAGTGATATGCCAATTTCGCGAAATCAATTTATGTATTGGAGGGAAGTGATTTGCAAATGCACTGGGAATCGGTTCACAGGAACTGTACGATGGTTTGAGGGGGATCTAGGGAATTACGCAACTTAAATTTGTTTATAATGTAGGTCATGGGAGTCGAGTGTAAAGTTGACTAGTCATTTATGATAGCAGTTTGAGCCAAATAATGTGTTATACTCAATGGGTCTCAGGACTTACATTACACCAACGTGCTTTCGTAACTAACATGCCCGCCTCCCCATTCACGCATGTGCGCACATATATACGCATGCACTTATGCATCTACCTCCCCACCCATCCAAACACAGTTTATCAAGTACAATGAAAGCAAATAATTTTGCTAAAATTAGAGTGCAAAGTAACGTCTTTACTGTAAGTAGCCAAAAATGCAATCATTCTAGCTCTTCGTATAATTTAGAGGTTACCAATTTCAAATGAACCAATAAGGAGCTTCTAAACTGATATACACTATAATATTGTGTCATAATTGTATTGTTTACATAGCCGTGTCATTTTTTGTGACACCCCCACTTTAGTTCACATGGATTAGTGTGAACAAATGTTAGTGGCTTAAATAGAGAAGCTCGAGACTCAAGAACAACTAGTGATAGCATTTTGGCAATGGACTTTAGCCAACATCGAGTTACTCTCAGTGGTCCCACGGCTTGCACGCGCCAACGACCGTGGACCCGGGGCGTAACAAATGGTATCAGAGCAGATGTCAGCCGGAAGTATAAAACTAAGTGTTATACGGGGTTAAGTGCTACACCATATGGATGTGGTGGGAACCACCTCTAGAGCCCGTAGGAGCCATCTCTAGAGTCCACGTTGCCTGGCAGAAATACTAGGATGTGTCAATTGTCATGTTGTGGAGAACTTGCGTGGCAAGTTTTAGAACTCTGAACTAGTTTGAAACTTTATGAAAGAGTTGATTTAACCGAAATCGCTCTATAAGCCAAGGATGAAGAAAGCTCCTGTTACTGATCTCCAAAGCTCCAGTAATTTCCCCCAAGATCTCTTCTTTGCTGCCAAAGAAAAGGATCTGAACTAAGCTGATTTCTTAGTTATTTATAGGGGATTAAGGGGTGTAACCGTCCCCTTAATTCGCTCCTAAGTGGGGCTAATGGGATGTAACTGTCCCTTAAATCACTCCTGAGTGGAGTTATAATCCTCTCAGATCGTGGGAAACTGTTTTGAAACCATTCAGCTCGTGTTTGAATGAGTCAAACACAAAATCCGCATTCTGGCATGAATTCTGCGTTCAAACGCAGTGTCTGGAAGCTCGAACGCAACGTCTGGAAGCTCGGATGCAGCAATTGGAAGCTGCGTTGGCAGCATTAGCAGCTGGATCTGAGTTGCGTTTATAGCGATTTGGAAGCTGCGTTGGCAGTGTTGGAAGCTGCGTTTGCGCTGCGTTAGTGGCCGAGCTTGAGTTGCATCTTGATGCTGGTACGCGGAGAGGATTTTCGCGTCTTGATTTGAAAAGACCATCGATTTGTAGTCTTTTTCTGTCAAAGCGTTACAAAGATCGTTATTTTGTAATCTTTGCTTTAGCTCTTTGATATGTGATAGTCGTCAGGTTGTAACTCCCGAGTTGATTGTGAATGTTGTTGATTAGAGCTTTCATCAGTTATTGTGAATGTCGTCAGATTGTAACCTTCATCGATCTATGTAAAAGTCTTCAAATTGTAGTTTTCTGGAAGCCGTCGAATTGTAACTTCCATCATCGGTATTTGATGGGGATCAGCTATCTACAGTGATTTTTAGACAGCCTACAGAACCCCCTCCAAAGTTTTCGAAAGTTCGCGGTTGATTAGGAAGAATTTTCGAAATACTTTAGATTTCAACTCTGATCTTGGAGCTGTTGATTCCGTGTCATAAAGGAGTTGTTCTCTGCACCCGCTTTGAAGGCATCTTCATTGAAGAGATTTGTCACGCAGGACCTGTGTAAGGATGAGCTTCAAAGAGAAACTGTAGTGACGGTATAAGCTACTCATGAGCAGAAGCTACCAAACGTTACGTCACGACTCACCTCCATTCAGTTGATGGGCCTGTAAACATTCATAGAATTTTTGGCAAACCCTCAGCCATCAACGGATTTGATAAGCCTTTACCGATTACCGTTTGAGTCGGGCTAGCATGTGAATTATTTGAATCCGTTTCACATGTAACGTTGTGCTAAGAGAATGAACTCTCTTAGACTTGATGTTATGATTTTGAATACATAGACTTTGTCATTTTTATGAAAAAAAATTAACCGACAGTATTAGGCATAGACTTATCTCTAATTAGGGATCGAGATAAAGTCTCCCATGCGTGTAAGGCATGTATTTTGGCATTATTAATAACGACCTGTCATGATGTTGAATACACGTGCTTTTATCCTTTTTGCAGGAAAAGACTAACTGGCAGCATGTGTTAGATGCAAACTTATCTCTATTTAGGGTCGAGATAAAGTCCCCTAAACGTGAATTCTGGTGTTCTTTTCACGGAGAAAGACTAACCGGTAATGCGTGTTAGGTGTAGACTTATCTCTAATTAGGGATCGAGATAAAATCCCCCAGACGTAGATTTTGATATCTTTTTCACGACGAAAGACTAACCGGCAACGCGTGTTAGGCGTAGGCTTTGTCGCCGTTTCTTCATGTGTTATGTTTTCACTTGAAATACTGAAAGAAAGTTGGAAGTGCCAGAGGTGTGATGTTAACTTGACGGGTTTGTGGACCTATCGCTCTATTAAAGAGAGTCAATAAGTTGATTGTCAAAGGTGTGATATTAACGTGACAAGAAGAATATTACGATCAGAGCAATTTTATGGACCTATCGCTCTATTGGAGAGAGTCGATAAGTTGATTTTATCAGAGGTGTGATATTAACGTGACAGGAATTTATTACGATCGGAGCAACTTTAAGGACTTATCATTGTGTTGAAGAGGATTGATAAGTTGATTGTCAGAGGTGTGATTTAACATGACGAAAATTTGTTGCGATCGGAGCAACCTTGAGGACCTATCGCTCTATTGACGAGAGTCGACAAGTTAATTGTCAGAGGTTTGGTGTTAACATGACGGGAATTTGTTACGATCGGAGCAACTTTGTGGACTCATCATCCTATTGAAGAGGATTGATAAGTGGATTTTGTCAGAAGTTTGGTGTTAACGTGACATGAGTTTTGTTACGATTGGAGCAACTTTGTGGACTTATCATCCTATTGAAGAGGATTGATAAGTGGATTTTATCAGAGGTTTGGTGTTAACATAACTGGAATTTGTTGCGATCGAAGCAACTTTGTGGACTCATCATCCTATTGAAGAGGATTGATAAGTAGATTTTGTCAGAGGTTTGGTGTTAACGTGACATGAGCTTTGTTAGGATTGGAGCAACTTTGTGAACTTATCATCCTATTGAAGAAGATTGATAAGTAGATTTTGTCAGAGGTTTGGTGTTAACGTGACATGAGTTTTGTTGCGATTAGAGCAACTTTATGGACTTATCATCCTATTAAAGAGGATTGATAAGTGATTTGTCAGAGGTTTGTTGTTAACATGACAGGAGTTTTGTACTTGTGATTTGAACAAGATTTTGGAGACTAGCGTCTCGTTGGGGAGAGTTGCTAAGTGAGTTTATCATCAGAAGCGATGAATTTTGATACTTATGATTTGAATAAGATTTTGAAGACTTAGTGTCTTTCTGGGGAAGATTATGATTTGAGCAATTTTGAGGACCTATCATCCTATTGAAGATGATTGATAAGTTGATTGTCAGAGGTGTAATTTTGAGGACCTATCATCCTATTGAAGATGATTGATAAGTTGATTGTCAGAGGTGTATTGTTAACGTGATAAATTGGGAGTGATGCAAACTTTGAAGATGATTGATAAGTTGATTGTCAGAGGTGTATTGTTAACGTGATAAATTGGGAGTG